GCTGGGAATGTTGGGGTGCAGGTTCCCATGGTTACAGTGCTGGGAATGTTGGGGTGCAGGGTCCCATGGTTACAGTGTAGGGAATGTTGGGGTGCAGGGTCCCATGGTTACAGTGCTGGGAATGTTGGGGTGCAGGTTCCCATGGTTACAGTGTAGGGAATGTTGGGTGCAGGGTCCCATGTGGTTGCAGTGTAGGGAATGTTGGGGTGCAGGGTCCCATGGTTACAGTGTAGGGAATGTTGGGGTGCAGGGTCCCATGGTTACAGTGTAGGGAATGTTGGGGTGCAGGGTCCCATGGTTACAGTGTAGGGAATGTTGGGGTGCAGGGTCCCATGGTTACAGTGTAGGGAATGTTGGGGTGCAGGGTCCCATGGTTACAGTGTAGGGAATGTTGGGGTGCAGGGTCCCATGGTTACAGTGCAGGGAATGTTGGGGTGCAGGGTCCCATGGTTACAGTGTAGGGAATGTTGGGGTGCAGGGTCCCATGGTTACAGTGTAGGGAATGTTGGGGTGCAGGGTCCCATGGTTACAGTGTAGGGAATGTTGGGGTGCAGGGTCCCATGGTTACAGTGTAGGGAATGTTGGGGTGCAGGGTCCCAGGGTTACAGTGTAGGGAATGTTGGGGTGCAGGGTCCCAGGGTTACAGTGTAGGGAATGTTGGGGTGCAGGGTCCCATGGATTTGGTGCCGGGAATGTTGGGTTCTGGGTCCCAGGGTTACAGTGCTGGGAATGTTGGGGTTCTGGGTCCCAGGGGTTACAGTAGCCAGGGAATGTTGGGATATCCAGGGGGGCGGTGAGTTTACAGCCCGGGGGCGGTATATCGTGGGGCGTATGTCAGAGGGGGGCGGTATATCAGGGCAGTGAGTTTGGCCGGGGGCAGTATATCAGGGGGGCGGTAGGTTTGGCCGGGGGCTGAGGTATGTCAGAGGGGGCGGTATATCAGAGGCGGTATGTCCAGAGGGCGGTATATCAGGGGCAGTATGTCAGAGGGGGCGGTATATCAGGGGGCAGTGAGTTGGCCGGAGGGTGGTGTGAGTGAGTGTCAGCCCCAGGGTAGGTACAGGAAGCAGTTCCAGTGAGTGTCGGCCCCCGGGGTGGGTACAGGAAGCGGTTCAGGTTTCCAAGTGTCACCAGAGGAGAATCTGATCCAGGGAGAGAGCGAGTATCCTCCATTATACTGAGTGCCCACTCCCCCACTGCTGCCCCTGAGCTGATTGCCCACTCCCCCACTGCTGCCCCTGGACTGAGTGCCCACTCCCACTGCTGCCCCCTGGACTGAGTGAGTGCCCACTCCCGCACTGCTGCCCCTGAGCTGATTGCCTACTCCCCCACTGCTACCCCTGAGTTGAGTGCCCACTCTCCCACTGCTGCCCCTGGACTGAGTGCCCACTCCCCCACTGCTGCCCCTGAGCTGATTGCCCACTCCTGCCCCTGAGCTGAGTGCCCACTCCCCCACTGCTGCCCCTGGACTGAGTGCCCACTCCCCCACTGCTGCCCCTGAGCTGAGTGCCCACTCCCCCACTGCTGCCCCTGAGCTGAGTGCCCACTCCCCCACTCCTGCTCTTGAGCTGAGTGCCCACTCCCCCATTACTAGTATTCACCCCATATTCAGCTCCTGGGTCTCTGCTTGGATATTCTGGCATAGGACAGCCATCTATCAAGATCTGCTTCCTGTGAGTAATCATGGAGTGTGAGCTGGGTCCATCACACCCACAGTTTACTTTAGGTACCACCTCTTCTGGGTGATGGATCAGCTCTTACTGAGTGATAACCAGCTGTGCTCCAGGGATTGTCCTTCACCCCCATAGAAGAGTCAGTGTACCCCAGTTCTGACTGGCACATGCTCGCCCTGTGTCGAGGGATGGTGTGCCCAGTGGCGCTGTGTTCAGGCACAGAGAGGTTTTACTGGGAATCGGGATGTTAACCCTGGAAACATGAGGAGGATTTGTACTTGGGAATGTGGCATCATGCATCGGACATAACACGGATTAACTACTAGCTCTGTATTGCTTGACATTCTGACACTTCTGGTGCCATGCAGATGCCCACAGTATCACCCACATATCTTCCAGGCTGCACTCTCGTGGGTTTCATGCCCGTCCACCCGCAGCGGGTCCTGCATTACCCTTGATATTGTATTTTTGTGATCCCTTCCTATTGTGCACTGTGTGTGTACCCCAGGGCTCCCGTTGCTGGCAATGGCAGACCACCTGGAGCTTCTGTCGGAGATGCCAGCGGTGAGCCGGATGACCACGCAGGAGAGGTTAAAGCACGCTCAGAAACGGCGGGCACAGCAGCTGAAGAAATGGGCACAGTTTGAAAAGGACTGGCAAAACAAGAAATCAAAAGGGGGGCATAAAAATCAGGGAAGCAAAGAGGAACGACGCATAATGTTTCCCCAAAACGTCACCCTCCTGGAGGCAGCAGCCCGTAATGACATGGAGGAAGGTAAGAATGTTTTATATTCCCAGTTACTGGGGGTGACGATAACTGCCTTTACCATGGGACTATGCCAAGCACTGTTTAACCCATTACTTGTACATTTTATCAGCCCCGCTGATGGAGGGAGGGCTTGCTATTATACAGGGACTGGAACGCTGTCTGTGCATCCGGTAGATTGTAAGCTCTTTGGAACCAGAGCACTGGTTCTTGACTTAGGACGGTACAACATACCGCACTGCAAATGAATACCGGAAAGATTATCCACTAAAGTGACAAATGTCTGGAATGTCACAGTGTAGGCTAAAATACCTGAATTAAAGATTATTTACTAAAGAGAGGATTGTCAGGAAAATATCCAAAGTAGAATTCTCCAAGTCAGTTCCGCTTTCCGTTTGGCTATTTTAACCTTAAATCCCCAACAATTCTCCCGTTGGATAATAACCCTGTGAAATGCCTGCTTTATATCATTCCTGGTCCACCTTTATTTGTTGTGGTTTTTAAAAAAAATTTTATACCCCATTGTACAGCGCTGTGGAGTATGTTGCCGCAATGTTCCATTTGGGAAGATCCCACCAGAATCCAGCTTATGGTTTTTTTTCTGATTGCGTTTTGACCCAAATTGGCACCGTTTTGCCCTAATGAAGGGAGAGCCCAGTTAGAATACTTTATCTTAATCTGAATAAAAGTAAAACAGTGGGTGAGATTTATCTACGGGGTGAAAGTGAAGCCGTCAGCTATATCATGTCCCTTCTGGTTTCTATGGCAATTGTACCTCTTAATAAATTAAGCTGATGCCACCTCTCCTGGTTGTCTGCTCCACTATTGCCAGTCTTTGAGTCAAACACTGTCGAAGGTTTCCCCATCAGCAAGGAAGCCGTTCATGTGTGCAGACCCCTAAGGATTGCACACACCCTGACCCTGGAGATATTACTGGAATCTGAGTGCTAGTTACTAAATGGTTCCAGTTGGGCAATTTTGTCCCTTAAGTAAATAATCCGGTTAGTTTCAGTAACACCATGCATGCACTAACAGAGTTACGTTTCCTAATTCCACGAAAGACTCTGGATTACCTTCTTCGACCGCGTTAGTCACCGTTGGCTATAGAATCCGGTGGAACCAAATTGCTGGTCACCTTTTGCATTCTGATGATGTTTTATTTGCCAGATAGCCGTTACTGTGTGCCCACGCCAGCTTAATGAGTCTTTACTCTGTGCCAGTTTAATGTAATTTAATGTACCATTGCAGAACTGGGCAATAGGACCAGCTCCGCAATTAGCGGCCAGGTCCCTTGTCTTCCAATTAACATAATAATCAGGAAAAGTTTAGCATTGTGACTATGGAAAGTTATTAAGAAACCACAAACACTTCCTGGCTGTTGGCCATCAGCTGGTACCGGCTGGCAATCTATTCCACTTCCCTCACACCATGGGCAGAGGGTGATGGCTTGATAATACTAGTGACGTCATTAGGCAAATAGAGACTTCCTGGACTGTGAGAGGGTGCGTGTAAAGGTTTCTCCAGGACCCCCTACTGATTAAGGCTTACAAGTGTCTCTCCCCTCCCCCAAGTGTGAGGTCAGAGTAATGTAGTATTCCTGGACCCTGCTTACTTCCTTAACCTGGGAGGTATCTGAATGGATAGTTGGTCACCAACCACCCCCCAGCTCAATACCAGAAGGATACTCTGTAGCCCAGCAGTACCATGCATGTTAACCAATGGGGGGGCCATGGAACTAGCCGTACAACGTTTACCCCCAAAAATTCAAATGATGAGAACTGCTTGTTTTGTGAAACGCTGGCGTTTATTCGGCAGTCGCTGCGCTGTGATTGTGGGTTTTGGTTTTCATTTGGTCTGGTTATTTTACCCTTCCTGATACCAGTTCATGTACCCAGTCGGTATTTGTGTTACCGAGCTGATTGGACACGGTTTGCGGAGGTTTTTTTTTATCTGTAAATGCAGTGAATTTCTGCAAATTCCTTGTTTTTGTGAATTGCTCCCTGAATTTCCAATTACCTGCAGCTGATGGCATTGCCACCTGACGGCAAATCCCTTGCTGGCATTTTATTGTTAATGGTGATAATCTGGTTAGAATCCGTGTGATTCTGGATGGAGGGGATTAACGCAACGCAGTATAAACTTCTCTCTGTATTGTATAAACTGACCTTGCAGACTCTTACCGCCCCGGGGAGCGATGACCTGTCTAATTGCTGCCGTACTCAGGGAGCCAGCACAATGGCCTAATCCCAGAGCATGCACTATTGCTGCATTTTCTTCTCTTTTCTCTTCTCACACTCACTCCGTCATCTCTAAGAATCAGTTAATTTTTTCCCTGTTGCTCTTAAGAAAATTCACAAAGGTTTTTATATTTTTGTAACTATTTACTCAAAACTATTTTATCTGTAGGTATCACCCCCTACCAGTCCAAATAAGGGAGCACATTGGGTCTGTCCCTGTAAGGTCGCGGGCTGTGTGTTTGCTGTGAGTACGTTTGTCGCGGGCTGTGTGTTTGCTGTGAGTACATTTGTCGCGGGCTGTGTGTTTGCTGTGAGTAGTTGGGTCATTTGCTGTGATGATTAATCGATCAATATTACATTTCCAAAACCAGTTTACGGACCGCTTGATAAACAGAACCGATATTAAGAAAACGTAAACTTTTGAAAAAGCAACACAATTTTTGCACCAATCTGGCATTAACTAAACATGCTGCCAGCTATCACTCTCAGGCAGCCAGCTCAGGCATGGGGCAGAGGGTGGCGGGCGCCTCGTTAGCTGGTGGCTGGGGTTTCCAGTTGCTGGGAAAGGTGAGTTACAGAATGTGATGGCAGATAAGAACCATTCAGCCCATCAAGTCTGCCCAATATATCGGTACAGCGGTACCACTACCGATTATCGACATATGTTGAATTTCGGATTTATTCATCAACAGAAGCGATAATCTGCCTATCTCTAGCTGTGAGTATTTGGGTTGCGGCTGTGTTTGCTGTGAGTATGTGTCCATTATCCTTTATCTTACACAGTTTTATTTTCCGAAGCTGCTGTGCCAGTTAATGTGGGGGCTGTGAAAGGGAATACCCCCCCATCCCAGGTGCCTTTGCAGCACTTTTCCTGAAATATTGCTGTAACAAAAAGAGGAAATTAGTTACACAGAGGG